TCAGCCAGTAGATATTTGTGAAAAGAACAAACATTGAAGCTCATTCATTAACATGATTTAATTCCCGTTTTCTTATTCAATGTATTCCTTTTGTCTTATCAGTAGTTCGGTTACATGCCAGTTAAAGAAATTAGTTATTCACAGAATAATTCAGCTGTAAAGTTGGGCTATTTAGTGAATAAATTCTCAGACTCAATTAGAAATAAGCATGTCGGTGATCATTCCTTGTGTGTAAAGTTTCTTCATTCCCTCATTAGAAACTGAGCTTGGCTTTAATAATGAATAATAAATTATGGATTTCAATTTGTAGTAATTAAATAAGACAAATGTTGACGTGAGTTCTAAATCCCAATTATTTTGATGTCACCTTGTGAGGTTGCTACAACATTTTTGGTTTCCACAATTTTGATTCCCAAAACTTTCGAAGATCCATTTCACTGAACACAGTCAGTAGAAGACCCCTGAACAACAGTTACATGATTATATAGTCGCAGCAAAAAAGAACACAACACAAGTCTGAACTTATCTCCATTACCAGGTGGAAAACAGAGCCACATCTTTACCAGCAATGAATCAACAAATTCAGCTTTGGAGATCCACAGATCTTTGATTTCAAGAAACAGCCACAAACCTCCACCATATTAATATCAGTGAAATTAAATTCATAATCAAATTGTCTTCAAAAAATATTTTAGAACTCAATAAACACAATATTTTTATTTGCTGCAGTGTATTCTAAGCAAAGATACTCTTTTTTCCCCAGTTAATTTTATTTTCCTTTAGCATATTAAAAAGTCTTACCTGTTCCAAAACAGACCGAAAAGAAGCTGAAACAAGCAATGTTTCTAAGTGTGCTGAGATGAGAACTGTGGTTTAAAAAGCAGCAGCCCTGGAGAGATAAGGATTCATACAGAACATTGTCTAAAGGTCAATTGAATGTAGTTACTTTGTTTCTTGTTACTGCTGGTAATATTTCAGGTTTTTTATTTTGGCAGTGTTCTGTATAAAGTATCAATTCTAACAGAACGAACAGTTCTACCGGAACTTTTTATTCTGGTAGAACAAACAGTTGTTCTGGAACTGTAATGAAGGAAAGGTTTAACAGCAAGGCAGAAAAATTTATAAAAAACAACTTAAATTTAGCTTCAGTCAATAAGGAAACAATATAATGGCAACTGAAATTTATTTAAGTATTTTAATGATGTCATATTAGTATTAATATGATACAACAAAAATACTTATTGTAGTCTGCTGTTGACTTGCTATAGAAAATAGCTTTATCCTGCAGTCACTCCTGTGATGAATGCAGTTTCATGCCACGTGCTACAGAAAAGTCAAAAGGTTATAACATCCAGCTGTATTTTTTAACCCTCACCAAAGGAGAGCCGCGGAGAGACACGTTGTCAGAACATGTCAAAACTGGATGCGTTTCTTCGGCAGAACTTCACAACTCACAGGAGTGGATTATTATGGCCCTAAGAGTGCTGACAAGTTTTTGATTTGAGAATACTGGAAACTCTTAGTCGTCCACTTTTACAGTTAGAGCAAGGTGGGTAGAGCATACCGAAGAGCAATGGTGGTGCAGAACGAACGGGGAGGAGTTTCAAAGAAGAAAGAGAGAAGGTGGGGGGGAGAATTGGGGGGTCTAGTGCATTGTTAGGAGGGGGAAGGCGAAGAAGGAAGAGGATGCGAAGGAGAGAAGTTGAGGGGGGCTAGCGTATCGTTAGAGAGCGGGGGGACACATGGGGGAGTTGCAAATCGTTAGAAGGGGCGGGAGGCAAAGGAGAAAAGTTGAAGGCAGGGCTGGCGTATCATTAGAAGGGTGGGGTGGGGTTGAAGGAGAGATGGCGGGGGGCTAGCGTACCATTGAGTGCTGGGGGGAGGATGGACGGATGGATGGGGCGGATGGACAGACAATGTATTGTAACAAGGGGAAGGAGGTCTGACTGTACACTAACCCCTCCTCGCCCCCCCAGATATGCTATTTTATCTATATAATTATAAGCAATTTCCACTATCTGTAATAATGCGTCTACCTGAGGATTCCTCTGATGATTATTGTTCATTAGAGCCATCATTGATGACTGAGGAGTTACAGCCGTTTGAAGTTTGTATAGCAGGTGTTGTCCAAGTGTGCCATTTGGAGATGCCAAATGGAGACTCTGAATGGCACACTTGGACAACACCTGTACATACTGAAAAATAAACATGTCCAAAATTACAGATTTTTTGTATTTGCCAGTCCATACAGTCATCACTCAATGTGTATTCACAAGAAATAAAAATGAAAAATCTGGGTGAAGCCAAAATTATTATTTTTTGTGTGTGTGGCAAACGTAATAGCTACAAACTACTTACAGTTAGAGTATTTTTGACTGCATAAATAGAACATTTAGCTTGTCTTCTTCATAAAAAGACCAAGCTTTTTCATGAACTTCAAATTATTCCAGAACAGCATCTGATTTAATTTGGGTATGCCTTTTCAGCCGTTTTTGGTGATTTAGGGGGTGAGGGTTAAGGCGTCACAGCATCCAGTCGATTTATTGTGTTGCACTCATAAAACAGACAGGAGTTCTTCAGTTTGGGCAACTAGATTTGACCCACTCTGTGTGTATTTTTCTTGGAATTGTTCTCTCTGGAGCAGCCGAGCATTGGCGCACAGAAAAAGCACACAGATGGATTCAAATCCTGCAATAATTTTGTGTTGTGCTTTAAATTCATCTGTAATTCCTCTTGGTTGACCTGTAAGTTTCAGACATATTCCTTCATTTGACCCATAATCCCCCAGGCTTCTATGAAGCCCTGTTTTATTGTCATGCATTTCTATTAAATCCTCCTTCATAAACTAGGGTTGCTGGTACTTTCATTCCAACCAGAGCACAAAGGCCCACCCATTTTAGGAGTAAGGTATTCATTAAAATGAATCACAACACATTGTCATAATGGGAGCTATTAGCTTGACCACATACAGAACTCATACAGGAGACCATTAAATTAGATAAATAAAGTTTATTTTGAATAGAACAATGAGTGTAGTGTGTGATTCTTGTCCTGGAGCAACTGGATCAGGATTGTCTGAGTTCTGAAGGTAGGAGAGATGAGAGGAAAGAAGGGAGTTTGAAATGAGACTGTGAAGGCGACTGAATGAAGCTTACTGAGTGAATTGAGGTTTATCTACCACAAGGAGAGGTTGGGTCACTGGAGTTTGGGTTACTTGAGGGGGAAAAAGATGTCCAGTCTGTGATTCTGTGACATGAGGTTACAACCACTTGGGTGTGGCTGGAATTTGTCCCCTGGTTCTTCGCTTTGCTACATACAGAAGGTCTTGACCAAATAGTTTTGTGACACGTCCTGTAACGTAACTACGTCTCTCTCTCTTTTATAGTAACACATATAAAACATAATTCATACAACTAATACAAGATTTGTCAAAAATATACAAAGTCAACAACTTGTAGCAATTTCAAAAATTTTATTGTCATTAAAGGGAACACAATTTCTGGTTGCATATATTAAAGCATAGTTATTTCTTGTGATTAAATGTTACACAAAATCTTTACTTTTTTGTCATTGTATGAGAAATACATATGTGGCTAGGTCTTTAATGAAGTTGAGCAATTATGTTTAAATTGTGAGTTTCTACCAGATTTAGTGAGTTATGTGATGAAATGAAATGCTACACCAATCTCATGTAACTAAGGAGATGGTTTATAATGGCTGCACTTTTCTCCAGTCAGATACGGGTCACATTTCAGTGTATAGTTAACCTGAACGTTTCCATACTTTCCTTGGCACCTGATAGTGTGAGTGCCAGGGCTCAGGTACCTCACACACTGCACGAGAAGGTCGTCATATTTCGGGTCTTCATCCCAAA